ACAAAGGAGAGTCAGTAAGACTAAGCTCAGACTACTCAGCAGAAACCAGCAGGCTAGAAGGCAATGGGATGACATATATAAAGCCTTGAAGGAAAAAAACTGCCATCCAAGAATTATATATCCAGCAAAACTGTCTCTCAAATATGATGGTGAAATTAGGGCATTTCCAGATAAACACAAGTTCAGGGAATTTGCAAAAACCAAACCAAAATTACAAGAAATACTAAAGGGAGTCGTACAGTTAGACAATCAATACCACCAGCTAACAACCCAAGACTAGAACGCAGGACAGAACAACCAGATATCAACCCAGATAGGGAAGTCACAAAAATAAGTCAAACCTAAAACCTTGAAAATAGGGAAACAGAGACATCAATATGTAAAAGATGACAACATTAAAACAAAAAAGGGAGACTAAATAGTGTAGTCATAGAACTTTCGTATGGAGAGGAAGTTAAGGCGATATCAAGAAATAAAAGATTGCTTTAAACTTAGAAAAATAGAGGTAAATTTAAGGTAACTACAAAGGAAACTAACAAATCTACACATCAAAATAAAAAAGAAGAAAAACATAAAGATTCAGCAAATACAAAATCAACAACAATGAAAAATACAAAAAGAGAATACAGAAAGAAAAACAACTCAGCACAGAAAATTAAGTGGAACAAAGAAACCGTCAACGCCATAATAAAAAAAAAATACATCAAAATGACAGCACTAATTACACTGAATGTAATTACACTGAATGTAATTACACTGAATGTAAAGGACTAAATGCACCAATAAAGAGACAGAGAGTGGCAGATTGGATCAAAAACACGATCAAGAGACACGCCTTACACTCAAAGACACAAACAAACCAAAATAATAGAAAAAAAATATATCAAGGAAACAGCAATTGAAAAAGATCAGGAGTGGCAATGTATATTCATCTCTGACAAATTAGACTTTAAAGCAAACTCCAGCACAAAGGATAAGGAAGGACACTATATAACGATTAAAGGATCAATACACCAAGAGGATATAACCATAATAAATTTTACCCACTCAATGACAGGGCTCCAAAATACATGAAATAAACTTTATCAGCATTGAAAAGAGAAATAGACAGCTCCACAACAGTAGTAGAAGACTTTAACACACCACTTTTGGTGAAGCAGAACATCTAGAAAGAAACTCAACAAAGACATGGAAGATCTATATGCCACAATCCACCAACTGGATCTCATAGACATATACAGAACACTCCACCCAACAGCAGCCAAGTATACTTTCTTTTCCAATGCACAAGGAACATTCTCCAGAATAGACCAAATATTAGGCCACAAAGCAAGCCTTAACAGAATCCAAAGCATCGAAATATTACAAAGCATCTTTTCT